TGAAACCGAATCATTAGGTTCTATTACATAAAACCTATATGCCTTGGAATGTTCAGCATATCGAATGAATCTGCAATCAATTCCATGTTCTCCCAAAATTTTCTTTTTGGGCTCGGTGAGTTTTATAACTATCCGACATCCCCAAACCCGAAAGTAACTCAAATTCGGCTTTTTCTTGAACCAAAGTTCATATGGGACTATTTTGTTCCTTTTATTTGGAACCCTATTTAATAAATAGCAGGTCGTTAACATGGCCTCTCCTTAGAATCCTTCACTCAATCCCGAATATCATAACATCGAGTTTACCATTTCCTTTAAAACTCGATTTTTGTGTTCAACATTTTGTTGGGGTATGTAAGGTGTTGTGGTCTCATGAATGATACCCACTGATTGAAAATATATGATATCCATATATTCACCTCCCATATCAGTCCTGAGACCTATAACCGGAATGCCCAAATGCAATTCCACATCGGTTTTGTATATTTTGAATTTATCTAAGGCTTCATCCTTAGAATGTAAGAAATACATATAGCAAAACCAAGTGCAATCATCAATAAAGGTGACTACATACTTTTTATTTCCCAAAGAAGGAGTGGAGTGAAAATCACATAGGTCACTGTGTACAAGTTTCGCCTGCTGACCTGGTAGCGAGACCCCAGCTAGGGGCTCTGCCCCTTGGACCCCGCTAGGGGCGCTGCCCCTATACCTAGCCAAAGGGGCGCTGCCTCTGGACCCCCGACTAATCGTCGAACTGGCTTCTAATTCGATCTTATACATGCGTGCACTCCGCACAACCCCGTACATATATTAGCATACAAACTATTAGGCCCCTTAGCTCACTTGTCAATTTCAGTTACTTAAATGACATGGTGATATTAAAATCACATACAGATTTTGTAATAGCTGAGGTTATGGTTCGACTAAAACGGTTATGGAGTTAGAGGCGGTGGATGTTCGATATTTTCCGGATCCTCTATGACCTGCTTTGTGAACATTGTTGGACTTGGTATTCCGGGTCTTTAGCATAGTTGAGACGAATTTTTGTTTAGAATAGGTCTTCTCTTGACTATTTCTGCACATGTGTTTGTTAAAAAAGAAATATAACCATTATTAATGTTTGGTGGTAGGGAGATGGCCAAAGCTAGTTTTAGTTTTAGGGTTTTTACTTTATTTAGAGATAGGATGATAGGAAAGTAATTTAGTGAGAGAAAGTGAAAATTTTCAAATGAACGTGTGAAATGTATGATCTATCATTTTATAGCGTGAGTTTCATTAAGCTTTTATATGATTGGCTTGCTTTACATCACCTAGATCACCATGTATATAATCCAAACCATACAATTCATCTCCATATATATATATATATATATATATATATATATATATATATATATATATATATATATATATATATATATATATATATATATATATATATATATATATATATATATATATATATATATATATATATAAACTCAAACACTTCACTTTCATCAATAGAAAGTGGTTTATTACACACAACATACTCCACTAAGATGGATTTGAAAGTTTTCCGAACAAGAATCAAGTAGAAGCAAAATCAAGGGTGTTCTTATCTTCATGAGCTGTCCCAAAGTAATAGTTGCTGTACTCTTCGAATATGAGATCCCTATATCGAGCCACCTCATCACGAGCCACTAGCGCGGGCAAGGGTCCTATTTTTGCCATGGGAAGTGGCGCGTAGAATATCGGGACGGACACTCTTGATGCAGTGCTTGTGGTTCGCACTATGTGTTCTGCACTTTTGTACTTCCCGTTGCTAAAAATCTAAAATGGAATCACGAAACAAGCAAGGCTCAGACCAACAGTTGTTAGATACGAGTTTAAAATCAGGCAATACCGACTGACTGCAACAGTGCAACTGTCAATAAAAGACGGACCTTTATGAAATTAGCCACCGTTATACACAAAGAGTGCGGAATTTTAGTAATAGTATGAGATTAACCTGTAACATATCGCCAACGTTGATAACGAGAGCACCATGGATGGGTGGAACCTCGATCCATTCTTCATTTCCTGGTGACAATATTTCACCTTTTTTCACGTATAGTCCACCAACGTCATCTTGTAGAAGCACTGTTAGCATGCCAATATCAGAGTGCCTCTTTACGCCTACGGTTAGCTCGGGATTTGGACAGGTCGGGTAGAAGTTCATGATGACTGCTCTTGAACCTATAAGTGTATCAAGACTTGAATCATCAAGTTTCACACCCAGGACTGCGATTAGTGCATGTAATAGCCTTTTCACCATCTCCGTTGAAGATTTTATGTACTCCAGCGCTACTTCTCTATAAAATTACCAGTACACAGAAATCATTAGGTAGCCTTTTCATCTTTAACAATTACGACTAATTAAGTGGGTTCTTACTTGCATTCATTAGGCCAAAACTCAAGGGCATCAGCGTCATTGGTGTATGTCATTCTTAGAAAGTCTCTCCACCGCAAAACCTCATCTATCTCCGGAAGAAAGCTCGTCCCATACTTGACCCCTGGTGTAGGGCTCACTCCCTGAAGATACGCTGCCTTCTTTTCAGCTGGTTGCCCGAAAAACTGATGTGCTGCAGCTTTAAGCGACTCCAGAAGCTCCAACGGTAGACCATGGCTCACAACCTGAAAGAACCCTAGAGTTTCAGCAGCATGGGCGATGGTCTTTGCCACTTGAGCATGGTTAGGACCATCGAGCTCTGATAGATCAATGGTCATCATTTCAGGTGATGATGCTGTTTGTTGCTTGTCTATTCGCAGGTGGGGTGGTTGGATGTACAGACTTGGTACCTCTGTGAGCCCAGAATCCACCAGCCCTTTGATACCATTGCCTTCCTTCACGACGAAGTTGAAGAGGGAATTATCATCATTGAGCTTTGGAGCCATTAGTGAGTCGTAAATGTACTTAATTATCTCTTTGCAATTGACTAATTATTAACCAAGTACCTCCAGCATGGCAGTTATAAATAGTCGACAAAATTGCAAAAATGGTCCCTGAGATATGATTTTTTTGAGGGTTTTAGTCCAAATTCCGACTTTTTTTGATTAATGGTTATTTTTAGCTAGTTTGCTTACAGTTTTGGTTTCTGTCCAAACTAAAAAGACTATTATACCCTTAATGAATTTATTTTTCATTTTTCTTTCACTTTTTACTATTATTATTATTATTAAATATAAAAGTGGGCCTACTTATCCACCCTCTCTCTCTCTCTCTCTCTCTCTCTCTCTCTAACCTAACTCATACCACTTCATCTTCAAGATTTTATCCCCCCAAATCCATCGTCGACATCCCTAGTAGATCTCATAAACACTGAAACACACCTTCGATGAAACCTCATTCCCCTTCAACAACCCACCAACCCGTTATATTACCCAAGAATCGCTCTTAATGAAACCCCATTGATGTTGAATAGAAACTCTCAAAGAAACCAAGCTTGATGATGTTCAAAAGGAAATCACGTACATCTACACCATCTACCATTTATTCTTCCTGTTTCACTCGATCTCAGTGCTCCTCTTCAGCAACACATCTTCTTTATTTGGATCCTGAAACCGATCATAGATCCCACTGCTCTATTCTCTCCTTTGTTCTCTGTGAGAATTCTTCATTTTGAAGATTCATCTAGGGTTTGTGCAGGTCAAGTCGATAGTTATAGGTTATGGTTTGGGGTTTTAATTCAATTGATGGAAAATAGTTATAGTTTATGGTATGACATATTGATTTGGATTTTGGAGCACACGACTATTCGATTAGCAGGGTGTTTGAAGTTGAACCAAAGAGTTATGTATTTAAGCATTTCGGCTTTAGAGTTAAGGGATCCATCGAGGCCATGACTGATGACTATCACGGAGATAATTATCACCCCATCTCCAAGAATTACAACAATACAACCATTTTACAGATGGTATATCTCAATGGATAACCAGGTTTCAATCTTTTATATGTTTCTTCAAGAATTGCAACCATTTCTGTTTTTTTCATAAGCGGCATGCTTCATCTTTGGCAACCTCATCATCATCGTTCATATTTAATCACATGATTTTAAACTTTTAGAGTTTTATCATAGAGTTCGTTGCAATTTCAAAATCAAAACTCAATGTATTTCTGCAATTTGAAGAAACTGAGTGTTGTGATTGAGTGAATTGTTAGACCCACCTAATTATATTTATAAATGATTGCTCCAATTTGATTGTTTCATTGCAGTTTCAACTTCTCGATTCTCAAATGATTTAATTTTCAATGAATTACAGATCTCAACATGGGAAGCAAGACATCAAGCTGGTCTGATCAATGTGGAACTAGAGTCTTTGACAATGAAAAGGAAAATGAAGAAAAGGAAAATACTAAGAGCAACAACAACAATAACAAGAAGATGGAACAAGTGAAGGCAGTTGCAGCTACAGGATTTGTGAAAGCTAAATCCGCCACCATTGTTGGAGCTCACAAAGTGAAGAAAGGTACATCCACTGGTTTCAAATGGATCAAGAACAAATGCTCCTTATCTTCCAAGTGAACAATGAACATATTGTTTTTCCTTTTGCTTTTATATCAAATCACATATTTTTCCGAATACAATCATTCTCTCTTAGTGTCGATTGCAGAACAACCCACATGAATGATTAATTAGCCAATTAAAGTAGGTTTTAATTTTTTTTAGGGATTTAGTGTTACTTTTCAAGGTTATGAAATTGGTGATGACATATTTGATTTTTGTAATATCTGATTAAGAATATGATGAACATTTTTGTAATTTCTGGTTAAGAATATGATGAAGATGAATATGGTGTTGTTATATTTATTGAGTGTGTATGAGAGAGAGAATGAGAGGGTGGATAAGTGGGCCAACTTTTATACTTAATAATAATAATAATAATAATAATAATAATAATAATAGTAATAATAATAATAATAATAATAATAATAATAATAATAATAATAAGTGACAGAAAAATGAAAAATAAATTTATTAAAGATATAATAGTATTTTTAGTTTTGACAGGGACCAAAACTACAAGCAAACTAGCTCAAAAGGACCACCAATCCAAAAAAATCGAAGTTTGTACTAAAACCCCAAAAAAAAACCATTTTTGCAATTTTGTTTAAATAGTCTGACAAGGAAGTTTGCATGGTTTTGAGGGTTGGTCAATTGTAGAGGTTTGGTGGTGAAATAACACCACTAACTATATGTATCTTTCAACTGGAAAAACCTTTTAAATAAATTTTGGGTATTTTATTAATACAAGAGTTTCACAAATATTCATATATAAATGGGAAATTTTTAGAATCTTATTTATTTGTCCTACTAATATCTATTTAATATATATATATATATATATATATATATATATATATATATATATATATATATATATATATATATATATTAAAAATGTGAAAATTTTGTATTTATCAAACTTGTAAATTTACAAGCAATATAAAAAAAACCTTTGGAATAAAAAAAGCTTATGCCACTAAAGTATGAGGCATCATTTTCTATTTGACGCTAATATTCAATCCATAGCAAAGTATTATCAACAGTATTATCAACAAATTATAAATCGGTGGATGTTTTCCAAGAGAATATTAGGTCTTATGGTATATATACAAGTTATGAAAAACTCGTGGTCTGGTGGAAGGTTCACCACGATCGTCATGCACACCATCCCTGGTTCCACGACCATGGTAGTTCGTAAAGAATGGCACGAGTGGCAACAGTTGAATATGAGAAGAGCTAATGGTTTCCAGTGCATTGAGCCAATCTGCTTCTACCTCTCTCCTCTTTCCATGTCATGGTTGTGTGTGCTTGAAGTTCATATCAAATTTTTATCCACATATTAAGGTATGCTTTCTTTATATTGATGTTGCAATGCATATAAGGTGTTTGATAAAAACCGTGAGAGAGTTCTTTGTTGAAATCTAGTATTTTAATTTCTTTCTTTATTTTTATATTGAAATTGATAGTGTGATGTGGTTGGTATACCAAGGTCAATGTGGTGTGGTGGTGGTGATGAGTTGACGCCTAGATGATGATATTTTTCATATGGTCGTTTTGTGTGGAAATTTGTTTATGCCAGTATTATGTCTCTAACTCCTTTTAAATAAATATTTTATTTTGCAACATGAATTTTTGATTATTTACATTCTATGTTTTTTTACAAAATTGCAAAAATGGTCTCCCTAGTGTTTTATTTTATGTGGTTATGGTCTAAACATTTGAAATGTTGCAGATTTGGTCCTTTTCAACAAGTTTTATTGAGGTTTTGGTCCCCCATCCGTTAAGTTTAACTGGTTGGGTGTTAACTTTTTTAAAATAACAATTTTACCCTCAGTGATCATTTTCGCAGTTTTGTCTTTTACCATACCATAAGGACCATTTTTGCATACATTCTTTTATTGAAGTATTATATATTAATAAATATTATTTTTAATATATAATATTATGTATTAATAAATATTGTTTTATTGGATTATTAATTTATTATCGTTGATTTTTTTTTTTTTGTTAGAGTAATTCTTTTTATTGAGTTATTATATATCAATACATATAGTTTTTAATATATAATATTTATATCATAATAAATATTATATTATTAGATTATTAATTTCTTCTAGTTAATATTTTTAATTCTTTTTTTTAATTATTTTTATTTTATTATTTAATTTATTATTTTCTTCATATACTAAATATTGTTTTATTGGATTATTAATTTATTCTAGTTAATTCTTAAAAAAAACAATTGTCGAAGTAATTATTTTTTATTAAGTTATTATATATCAATAAATATAGTTTTTAATATATATATATATAATATTTATATCATAATAAATATTATATTATTGGATTATTATTATCTTTTAGTTAATATTTGTAATTTCTTTTTTTAAACTATTTTTATTGGATTATTACTTTTAATTTATTATTTTCTTCATATACTAAATATTATTTTATTGGATTATTAATTCATTTTTAATTATAATAATAGTTCTTGTTAATTTTATTGGTTTCACCCTTAAGTCATGGGATATGCAAAACTGTCATCTCTCATCATCGAAATCGTTAGGATCGCTGCCAAACACTTTCATTTCATCTAGCTTATAATGAGAAACCATATGGAAAAACCATAACCATCACTCGGTCACCGCCACCACTTATAAATGTTATAGGGGTTTGTTGCGCATTATGTGAGATATGAAAGATTCCATTGGATTATGATGAGGTTGTCGCACGTGGCTATCAGCAACGCTGGGTGGAATAGGGTAGGATATCTATTGAACCTTAAATGAAGGTGTTTAGAGCTGATTGTGCCAATTTTTGACGATGATAAGCGACTCTTTTACGTGTTTCGACGACTTTGTGGTGAAATTAATTAAATTAAAAACAATTAATAGCATACATTAAAAATAAAATAATAATACAATAAGATAATATTTATTATATTAAAAAAAATAATAAATTAAAAGTAATATTTCAAAAAATTAATAACTCAAAAAAATAAAGTAAAAAAATTAATAATCCAATAATGTATTATTTATTATGATGTAAATATTATATATTAAAAATAATATTTTTTGATATATAATAATCTAATAAAAAAGAATTGCTCCAACAAAAAAGATATTATAAAAAGAATCAACTAAAAGAAATTAATAATCCAATAAAATAATGTTTTATAATATATAATAATCTCAGAATATAATATTTATTATGATATAAATATTATATATTAAAAATTATATGTATTGATATATAATAACTTAATAAAAAAGAACTACTTCGACAAAAAATTAAAAAATATAAAACTAACTAAAATAAATTAATAAACCAATAAAACAACATTTAGTATATCAAGAAAATAATAAATTAAAAGTAATAATACAATAAAAA